AGAAGGTAGTTATTAAATCTTATTGGTTTGGATTGTGCTGTTTCTATTTCTTCTCTTGATGCAAAGATAATTGTTGCTGCTCTTCTTTGGTTTTCATTTCTGTTAGGTAGTATGTAAACTGATTTTGCTTCTTTGTTTTTTAAGCAGCATAGTAGCAATACTTCTGAAGCATTGTCTAGGAGCTCTGTTAGCTTTGTTGTGAACATGTTTTGAAAGTTACATTGTGTGTAATCTTCATTACCTTTGGTTACTCTTGCCAACTTGTGAACACTGATTGGCAAAGTCTATGAAATGTTCTCATTAGTAAGTTAATCTGCTTGAACTACTGCTAATGCCTTGTGTTTAGATCTTTTAATGCATCTTATTTGTATCTTCTTGAAGCTTTTACACATATGTTTGATTTTCTCTGCATTAATATTCACAGGTAGGTCTTATATTGTGAAACAGTTATATGAGTTTGTTTCATTTTCTCTTGCAAACAAGTCTTTTTTCTTCTTATATTCTTCTTTTCTAGGTTAATTTTTATATCTTTTTTTCTTTTTCTTGTCATTATTTTTGACTTGTTGTTCGAGTTTTGATTTTTTGTTTCTCTCTTTTTCTGGGATAAGCTTAAGCCATTCACACTTTTTTTCTTGAATTCTGTTCATTGCTACATCTCAACTATGTTCACAATCAAAGTCTACTTCTACCCAGTTGTTTCCATTCTTAAAAACTTCTTTGATTGTTTTAATATAATGGTTTTTGCCCAGAATCTATTGCATGTATTTTATTCTTTTATCACTTGTTTCTCTTGATAAGATGTATGCTGGCATGTTTGCCTTGAAGAACATGTTCTTATTACATACTCTATTTTCTGGTGACCATTAACTGTGTTCAATTGTGTCTATAAAAATTGAATCTTTATAAGTCATGTTTCCTTCTTTTAATTCTGTTATTTTTTTGTCAATGTTTTCTATATTTTTCCTAACATCTTGGATGATGCTATTTCTTGGAGCTTCTATGTCTTTCTTTATCTTTTTTTCTCTTATTTCTTCTGCTTTATTTGATTTGACTGTGGAGGTTTGGTTTGTGCTTGTTGAGAGGCTTTTTTGTTGCATATCTTGTCATATACTAATGTTGAGATCCTCTATTTGATCGATGATTTTATTTATTATTTGGATTGGTTTTTCTTGTAGTATTTCTTTTCTTGCTACATCTTGATATCTTTTTTTTGTTATTGAGGTTTGCTTCTTTTCTATACTGTTTAGTTTCTCTATTCCTTCCATTCTTCTTTCTTCTTTAAGTATTTCTTCTTTGCTCATATTTGTAATATATTCAACTAATTTTAGGTTTTGATTTATCAGTCTAAGTCTTTGTACCTATTCATTTATTATCTCTTCTTCAAGCCAGCTTAATTCTGCTAGACTCAAGGCCTTAAGAATTTGTCTGTAAAGTAGTACATTACTTAATGTAATGTAACTTGGGTTGTTTATTGCTAAGTCCTTTGCTATATGCTCTACATTGCTTGGTTCTTTTGCAGGTGTTATTAGAATTTGGTTCAACAATTTAGAATTTAAGTACTTTCAATTTTTATCACCTGTCTTCTTAATGTAGTGCATGATGTCTGTGTTGATAGCCTGATCCATTTGGTTTGTTTGTTGTATTTCTATCTTGTACACTTTCCTTTTTAAGTTGTTTATATGCAACCTGTATTGTGTTACTATTAACTACTAACTATCTATCTATTTTCTAATTAGGAATATAACTTTGTTGTTTGTTGTTATTGTTTGGCCAGTTATATGTTCTCTTTCTGTTTTTCAGAATTAATTATAATTTCCCAAACTTTTGAATTTCCTACTAAAAAAAGGAAAAAAAAATTTTCAAAGCAAGTTTAGTCTGTTAGAGATTCCTTTTCTGTTGTTATACTTCTACTATTGTTTATGTATTTTTGAACATAAACTCTTTTTTCTTAAGGGCCCAAGGACTGTTTTCTATTCTGTTTTGGTCATATTTTGTGTTCTGTTTCTGTTTTGCTTTTGGAATTAAAGATCAGTGAAAAGAGTTTATGTATTTAAATATTGAAACAGTTGCTATAATATGAATATTATATAGATAATTATCTAAATTTTTGTCATTAATGAAATTTGAACATTTAACTTATTATTTGAAGGGTTGACAACTTATCTACTTCACTAAGTTACAATACTTTTATCTTTTTTTCTTCTAAATTGATTGGTTTTTTTTTTTTTTTTTAAATATTAAGGTAAGTACTTGCGACTCAGGATTTTATTAGTAGTATATTTGACTAATGAATGCTTTACAACTACAGAAGGCAACTATAGGAAGAGTATACAACTAGCCACTTATACAACTTTAGTTATTGTCTAATTTAAGTAGTCTGCCCGAAAGTTCTACACTAGCTGCTATACCTGAAACCTACTTGTAGGTTTCCTATTTAATTACTCTGTTTCCATATCCATCTATCTACTTTTGTCTACTAATGACTCCAGCCAATGCCAGTAAAAATATGCTATGGCGACTAAGTCTTTAAAGCAGTTCACTCATATAGAAAACCTTTGACCTTGTACTAAACCTTCTAGAATCTTCTGTATCTTATTTTTACAACTGACTTGATATCACTATGGCTGAGACCAACACTGGTGGTCAGGATGTACTATTAAACTACTATGCTCTTGTAAAGTTCACCCCAACCCTAGTACTGACTTCACAACATATTCTTACTACTTTAGTATTCAATTCAAGTTTCACCAAGCTGCCATTCCAAATAACCCAAAAAGGTAGGTCAAAACTATACACTTCTGGTTCATATGTTTGCTAGCATGTGCTCTTTTCTTCTAGAACCCAAAAATTCTGGTAGCCTGGTTGGTTTATCCAGTTCCTTCTTAAAGACCAGCATATTTGCTCAGTTTCACAAGTTCTAGCATCATTTCATAAATTTAGTCTTTACAGTAGCACTGTCGAAGGTTTGGGTTACCTCTCTACTCAGGTCTTTCAAGTGGGCTTCCATCTTTCTACCTGGTTTCTGTGATTTATATGACCTAAGGACTTATCTTGGGTTCACACTGCCTGGTACTAGTTTGTATTCTCTCATACAATGTTGTACAAGTGCCTAGACCTTCCAGTCATACTGGCATGACACAGTTTACAGATATCCTATTTCAACCAATCATGGAAGACAGTTAGCCATAACACAGAAACAATTGCAAATTTTCACTGTTACTAGGATTTGAACTCTAGACCTGCCACTTGGGAGTTAACAACCTATTCACTTTACTATCTAAATTGATTGGTTTTGGTAGTTTTTTATTCTTTTTACTACTAATTTGATATATACAATCTTATATATCTTTTTAATATTTAATTAAGTATAATTAAATTTATCAAGATTTATATTATTAGTTTATAATTTACTATATATTCTTTTTTATTTGTATTTTCATAGTTGGTTTGATTTGTTGTTTGATTGCATATACTTCTTACAGATTTTTTTATAAGTATACTATTAATTATATACCAATATACTACCAGTTTGGTATTATAAAAAAACCTGAAATCTTGCTTATTATATAAGATATAATGTTTATTAACTAAGTTATAAATATGAGTTTTTTAAAAAATATTTGACAAGTACTTTAGAAGTATTTGTTAAAGATGTTTTAATTTAATTAAACTAATTCTTTAATACAGATCTTATTTGCATACATTGTCTTACTTATTATTTCATTATAACTATCTAGTATTACTTTTTTCATTAAATATTCTGTAAGTTAAATACAAAGATATTGAAATTAATCTGTTTTTTTGAAAATTTGCTGTTGTATAATAAAACCTTTTGTAATGTTACTGTTATATATAATGTCTTCTCTTTGCAAAGTTCATCTTTTTTTAGAAATTTCTAATTTGTTATTGTACTTTATCTTAGAATTTTCTACAAGACTTTATATACAACTTGGCTTCTATTTAAATTACAGAGTTAAATTTTTAAGATTTTTGCCTTCAGTCTGACTCAAACCATTGACCTAATCTGTAAAAGATTAGCAACTTTACTGTTAAGCTATAAAATCTAATCTCTGTAAAATAATATTTTAAACAAAAAAATTTGCAATTATAAATAATTACAACTTAATTATAACAAAAAATAGTAAAAAAAAATTCAATAATAAAATATAAAAAATATAATTTAATTTAATAAAAATTATATTTATAAAACTTAAGATTATTTTTTTATAATTTAGCTAGCTTAATATAACCTTTAGATCAAAGTAACATTCTAACTAATATAACAAACTACCTTTAAATACTTATAAAAATCACTAAAAAATATTAAACTATAACTTAAACCAAACTTTGTATAAAATTTTGAATATAAATTCTTAATAAAAATAAGCAACAAGACTATAAAATTAAAAAAAACTAGCAATTTATTTCTTATAAAACTAGAAATAACTTTGCTAAAAACCTTGAATTTTTAATCCAAATAGAAAAGGTAATAATTGTATTCTTGAAAACTTTATATAAAATATATATATATTTAATTTTTATAAAATCTTTTATTAAGTATACTTATATAATAATTTACATTTATCTTAAATTTAATACAAAACTCAAAACTAACACCCAAATCTAGGTGAGCCTTGGCCACTCTTGTAGGTTTAGGTCGCAGATCATATGTCTGAGTCTTTATTCTTCATATGTAATTTAAAAGCAAGCTTTTCTTTGTAAAAACTTCAATTGAATTTCAATAAAGTTAAAGGCATGGCCTCACCGTTAATATTTAAAAAAAAAAAAAAAAAAAAAATACAAAACTCAAATCCAAACCATTAACTAAAATTTGAACATTTATAACTATAATCGTTAAAACTTAAATTTTTTATTTAATTAAACCTTAAATAACTGACTATATAAAATGTACTCTATATTTATTACACCTCTATAGAACCACCAAATTTGTATCCCGAAGGTGTAACTATAGAGATTTGACCGTAATTGAATCAAATAAATTATATAGGTAGCTCAAAAGAAACTCCAATATTTGCTTCCCTTGCAAGCTGAATTATTTTTGATAATTGTACGGCTTTCGAAGCCGCCTCATCAAGATCATCAGCAGAAATTATACGTAATCCGGATTCAGCTATAAGTTTCTTGGCTGAATCGACTTCAGTACCTGTTTCCAATCAAACTAAGTAAATGGAACTTTAAAAATAAATAAATCATAAATATACTTCACCTTGCAATCGCACAATTACGGGTATGGACAATGATAGTTGTGAAGTGGCTTGAATAATGCCTTGAGCAATAATATCACAACGCATGATACCTCCAAAAATGTTAACCAAAATGGCAGTCACTTGTGGATCTGATGAAATTATTTTAAACGCTTCGGTTACTTGCTCTGCAGTAGCGCCACCGCCAACATCCAAGAAATTAGCTGGTTCTCCGCCATGTAGCTTAATAATGTCCATAGTTGACATTGCCAAACCGGCACCATTCACTAAAAGATTATGCTTTATGATAAATCGTCATAAATAATGAAAATCATGAAATTATCATCTCAATGATTACCCAAACAGCCTATCTGTCCCTCCAAGCCGATATAATTCAAGTTATATTTTGCAGCGGCAACCTCACGTGAGTCTTCTTGAGTGGTGTCGCGTAAGGTAAATACATCCTTTTGTCTGAATTCCGCGTTATCATCAAAATTCAGTTTTGCATCCATACACAAAACTAAATTACAGAATAATTAACATATGTGATCATATTCGAGCTAGGTGCTGAGAAAAGGGACAAATTAACAAAAAATAGAAAATTTGATTTTTGCATTATAAATCAAATTTAAAAGGCTATACTGTAAAATTTTAAAATAACATTCGTTCCTTAAGTGAAAAATGCTTCCGAGTTAATTTCGAATTAGTAGGCTCGAAAAAAATTTGTTGAAAAATTGTTGGTTTGGTCCCTTTCCCAGCACCTAGTACATTTGTTCGGATAATAGGATAAAAAAATAAAAATACTTACCTTCATGATCTATAGATTCGGCCATCGGATTAATTTCTACTTGAGTACAATCTTTGTCTACGAATAGCTTGTAAAGTTTCTGCATCATGTCAGCAGCCTGAAAAAATGTAAAGTTAACACAATAACTTGAATTAACATGTCTCAACGTTATTTATATTAAATCATTTGGATAACCTCTTCGCGAATTTTTGGAGAAAAGCCCAACTTTTCTGCCAAAGACAGGGCATCGTCTTTCTTCAGACCATCATTGATGTCGATACTTAATGTTAAAATAGCCTCAGGATTTTCAGCTGCAACGCTTTCAATGTCGACACCACCTTGAGATGAAGCGACGATAGCGGGGCCTTGGGTCTTTCGATCTTGAAGAATAGCAAAATAATATTCACGACGGACAAATTTACGTTCGACAATGTAAACCTATGGTTGATATATTTGATTTGAACATGTTTAAGTGAACAATGAGAAAAATCATGACTAAAAATAAATGTAAAATTATACCGAATTACATATTTTTCCACCTGGTCCGGTCTGCTTTGTTATGAGTTTATAACCCAGCATTTTCCTAGCAAACATTTCAGCTTCGGTTGGGCTAATAAAAAATAGAAAATATCATGATTCTACAAGTTTCAATCGAGTATATTGTTGTTATGAATTACATACGAAAAGATGGTTCGGACACCGCCTTTAAGACTACTTTCAAACACACCCTTACCACGGCCGCCGGCAAGGACTTGTGCTTTAATTACAGCGTCCTCTGTACCTTTTGAACAATTGCATATTTTTGAATAATTTAATTATAAGGAAACAGTCGTCTATTTAGGAGATACCTAAGTTTTTCGCCACCTCAAAAGCCTCTTGAGGCGTTCTTGCGACACCGCCTTTTGGTGTATTTACGCCATATTTATTCAAAAGTTCCATAGACATGTGTTCATGAATAGCGAGGTTTCGTTTCTGGTGGCCTATAGAGAGCTAATAGAATAAACCAACTCACAGGTTCAAACGTGGAACGTGGAAATCCGAAAGTTCTTTAGGACATTAACGTTGTACTTAGAAAATATATAAGTACCAGTGATGCTCTTCTAGCAAAACCTTTAACGATGGTCAGTGATCGAAGCATAATTAACATAATTAAGCAAATCAAGTTTTAAACTTTATATTTATCAATCACTGAATTATCAATAATTATCAATCTGCAATAATCTGCAATCTGCAATAGATAAACTTACGTAATCTGATTGGCCCAACATCTTATACAGGGAGAGGTACCCGGAAATCCCGGGCTGAAGACGCTGAAGATCAATTCCGACTTTGACCGGATCCAATAAAATTACAGGATCTCGTGCATAAAGAATTGTAAAAATTTACTGACGACTAACTTCCGACCTCTAAATAAAAGTTTTCAGAATGAAATTTTATTAATAGGACACAATCTTTAATGTTAGATTTATAGGGAATTTTTGAGATACTACGGACCTATATTTTTTGGTCGGCAGCTCTAGATTTCCTTGACATAAGAAAATCCCGGGATGAAGATCGCTGAAGATCACTTCCGACCCTATCCGGATCCAATAAAATCACAGGATCTCGTGTAACAAAACAAACGCGAAAAACATAAGAATTCCGACCTCTAAGTAAAAGTTTTCAGAATGAAATTTTACTTATAAAACACGATTATTAATGTTAGATATATAGAAAATTTTTGATATACTACGACCATATCTTTTTGGCCGGCAGCTCGGGATTTTCTTGACATAAGGAAATTCCTCCTTATGTCAAGCGAAAATCGATCTCCGACCTTGAATTTCTGGTCCGGCACCAATAAAATCAAACAGCGAAAACAGCAAAAAAAAATAAAAGTTCTTAAATAGTGCCAAGTTTTTATTATGCTAACCAACTTCCGAATTCTAATTAAAAATTTTAGCATTAAATTTACACATAGCATTTACTCTTTCACATCAGATATAGATAAAATACTTGATATACCCCAACCCAAGTATGTGGATCGGAAGGGTCCGATTTTCGTTGACATAAAGGTACCCCTGGAGGCTGCATCGAATTTTTTTTTTTTCTTCGATTCTTCAAAGTGAAAAGCGATCGTTAAAAACATAAAATCCAATAAACACACTATTCCAAAAATATATTGATGTAACCAAATTTCCGCTAATAAACGAAAATCGAAATAAAATTATAAAAACTAAAGAAAATGCAATTACCTTGTGGATTTTATTGTTAATACCCTTTCTGAAGATAATAACTGTTTATTTGAGTAAAAGGTTTTTATAATTCTGAATCCAGGACGCAGCAACAAAAAATTATTGAAGAAAACAATGAATCCAAATAGTAACTAGTATTAATAAAAACTTTTAAGCCATTGCATAAATTGGAGGATTATAATCATTTTAAAAAGCAATGGAATATTCCAAATACTTAGAGAAACCGTAATCGTAATACTTTCTGGCTTGCTTTTTGTTATTATTTTGTTTAGTTTAAATTTTTTTGTTTGAATTTTAAGTGCTCGATATATTTTGTCACGTGATATTCGAAACTTTTTTTAGTGGCTAAATTTGGCCGATCTGGTGGTTGGTACCAGTTTTAATAATTCGAGTTCATAAGATAAATTCACAAATTCATGTGACAATCCTGAATTACTAAGATTTTGGACATAAAAAATATACAATACTTTTTGTATGAGTTTGTATGAGTTTACACTACTAAATATTTTAAATTTAACGTTGATTATTCGTTGCATCTAATTAATGCAAAGACCTATTTATAGTATGTCGAAACACAAATTTAATAAACTTGCCGTTGTTTGATGCAACATGCATGATAGCATGGTCGCACCATCCACCAACAAAGAATAACTTTTAAGTCGTACGCTTGTTTCTGGTAACGAATTGAAACATACTCTTTACACTTTAACTCCCAATCTTAAAAACATCATAGCTTTCGTTTCTGAAGGATGGCTGTTCAAGAATCTGCTACACGTATAAGTCAGTTACTGCCGTCAATAAACTGTGCTGATTGTGGACAAACAGTAGAGTTTCGAAAACTTGGAGAGCATATATGTAAGGCAGCCCCTGCCGTTCCTGAATTGCCTAGCGTTTACAAGAATAGTGGTAAAAGACCAGGTACATTGTTAACTTTATTTTTTCTATACCAAGTACTGTTTTTTTTAAAAAAAAATAATTTTTCAGGTTACGACGTATCAGGCATAAAAAAACAAACTAATTACTCGAGACCTAATATCGACCTTTTACCTGCTACTGGTACGTTCAATTTTAACGTATTTAAACAGGTTTATTTAATGTCTATTAATCTTACTTCTTTTTAGATGAGAACTTACGTGATAATCGTCTGTTGCCCCGATCACCCTCACCTTATGATGCTACTCCATCTCCAACTGATTCTGGATACTCCAGTTATTCAAGTAAATATCCATCTCCACCTTCTGCAAGTTCTCCGAACGGAAACAAACCTCTTCTTCCGTTCATGCAAAAATACCAACAAACCGCCGTAAAACCAGTCAATTCGCCATCACAAACGTCTTCTGAACAGAGAGATCGGCTACAGAATAATTTTAATATAAATGGAAGTAATTATTCTAGCAAATTTTCAAGTAATTCTGATAATTTTGGTAGCGAGGTAATGCAAAAATACAGACCACATGATGCATATGGGCCATCAAATGAGAATCGTGGCCAAAGACAAGATCGCTATTTACGAGGCCCTAATGACGTTTACAATAATGACCGTGATCATATGTATCGAGAGGAAGAGCGTAGTCGAAGCCGATCACCTGCGGGATACGATCGTACCAATGATCGAGCTGATTACGGATCAAAATTTTCCCAACCTTCATCAAATCAGTTAAATGGCACAAGAGATTATGAACAGCTCTACAAACCCACTTATGACCAACAAGATAGTAAGCCACTGTACGGATACGTTGATCCTGGAAAGCAGCATTCTCACAAACATTCACAAGAGAAAAATAACGGTTTGCCACACGTACCACCGCTGTTCGAAAAAGATGGTAAAAATCACAGAAAAAATGAGAATTCATTATCGTCTTTAAATTCTAGCGCGTCTGGTCGTGGTACGTAGATTTATGAATATTGATGTATTAAAATTTTATATTCGGTCTAAATCCTTTATAGTCACATCCTAGTTCTAATAAACCTATGCTCATAAAGAATTAGTGATTTATAGAGACTAAATTTTCTATGTTGACTGTATAGGAGTCAAATTGTATTATATTTTTGGATTTAACCTGATCTTGTCTTGAATTATAGTAAAGTATCCAGATATGAATAAAGGAATTTCTGATGATTCTAAAGAACTCTTTGGTAGTGGATTTGATGATTTGATGGAAGACTTAATGAGAGAGATGGACAATATGCAAACTCCTACCTCAGGCCATGTGAAAAATAAAGCATCATCCGGAAGGAAAGAGGTTCATACTTGTGCTTATTGGTAAGTGCTAATTATGTGTTTTATAATATTTATTGTAGTAAGATCTTCATTCATCGTATGCTTAAACATTTAATTACTTTATTCAAGCAATTTACCAATTGATTCTTCTCCGATGTGGGCACTTAATAAATCATGGCACTCATATCACCTTCTCTGCACACAATGTCATAAACCTATCGATCCAAACGTAGGGCACGTCGAAAGAAATGGAAAGGTATACTGTCCAAATGATTTTGCTGATCTGTTTTTACCAAAGTGTCGTAGATGTCACCTACCAGTAGAAAGAGAAGCTGTAAGTGCGAGCGATGGGAAACTAGAAGGAAAATGGCATGTGAAATGCTTCAACTGTCATGTAAATATTAGGTTATCATTTAATTATTGATTTACTTTAATTTGAATTCTGAGACTTTTCATAATTTTTTTTTTTTTAGACATGTAGTCAACCTTTTCCAGACAAATCTTTTTATGTCTTTAACAATGCACCATATTGTAAATGGCACTATCATAAATTGAACAATTCACTTTGCAGAAATTGCGATGATCCTATTGAAGGACCGTGTGCGCAGACAGTTGAAGGATGGAGATATCATCCAAAGTGCTTTGTTTGCTGTGTAAGTATTACAGTTCATTGTTACTCACGGTTAGCGAATTATATTAAAATAAATATGCGATTGCACCTCGATATAAATTCTTGATATAAACACGCCTATCTTTAAACCAATTACTATAAACTTATGAAAAGCACCTTTACATGTTCACAATTTTTTTATAAGTACATGTCTTACAAAAGTCACTACGTAGTATTATGTCAAGGTACAATTGTATCTACACACAATTATTAACAATTACCAATTTAAATATTACATATTTAGAATTGTCAAGAGCCTCTCACAGATATTTATTATAGCTTTGAGAATAAGCAATACTGTGAAATTCACATAATGGAAATTCAACGTAAACGCAAAATTAGGGCAGAAAAGAGAAGAACGCTTTTTCAGAATATTTGAGGGAGTTTTCCGTGATTATCCACTTTATTTGAACTTTTTTAACTTTTAGATTAGAGATTGTACCCAAATAGAAGCTGTTACCCAAAATTATCCGGGTAATCAGAATAACTAATAATACCCTGGTAGGGATTTTCTCAATGGGTACAAACTCTATTTTAGATTAATTATTTAAAAATGTAATGTTAATTTGTCTTCATATTCATTACAAAAAATTCATTTACACGTGGTTATCTTATTCAGCTTCGGTAGTCCTTATTTGATTTTGTATTGGCGAATTATTAATATTAATACGCTTTTACTTTTTATCAATTTTATCAATTTCATTTCAATAATTATACGATATAATACTTGATAATGCATATTATGTTTTGTTTTTAATATTGGATTTTAAAACAAATATTATGGATGTTTTATATATTTGTATTTGTATTTCTGTATATA